AAATTAAAATTTTGTTTTGCCCTACTATGTTGATTAACCACTAGCAGGCTTATACATTTATGATCTGTAACACATAATGGAATTCTTATTCTTATTCTTTATTCGCCAAAAAAAAAAAAAAAAACAAAGTACAATACAATACAAAGGTGGAATACATACAGAATACAAGTACAATATTAATCACTATAACACAAAGTCTGTGAATGTCACTCATCCAGTTTAACATAAATACAATATTATAAATAAAAAACGTCAGTTGTAATAAAATAAAACAAAATCAACAAAATATGTAATCATTGATCAGAATTCATTTTAACTTTAAAGAAATTAAATCCAAAAAAATATATATATAAAATTAATTAAATATAATTAAAGAATTAAGATATTTAAACATAAAAATATGGATATGGGGGCTTATGTGGATGTGAAGTTTATGTGGAGGGGCTTGATGATTGGAGGGAATTTTTTTAGACATTATACAAGTATTTTGGGCTCCTTGTACTTTTTAAAATCCTTACGGTATTTGTCTTTCAGGAAAACATTGAACTTCTTCAAAATGAACTGAGAAATCCAAAGTATCAGGTTTATTTTATATGTAAGTATTTTAGATTAAACAAAAAATTTGATACCTATATTTGACATACTGGTGTTGTTATTGTAAATATTGCTAGGGGGTCTAATATAGCTGTGTGTCCTGAGTACCCAACAATGTCAAGAGACTTCACAGATAACGCCTCAGTCTGTAATCATTGGTGGCACCAGAATTTGGCTGATGGACACTGGGAGGCATTGTCTCCAGTCACCACTGAAGATCATTTCTGTCTGGATCAAGGGGCTTAGTTCTCTGCTGACTAAAGAAACTGTTTTAGAATGTATTTTACCAAAAAGTATTTAGTAATCTTAAACCACCTTCCCCTGCTCCTGCTGCCACTATCTGTAATGGCTGTTTAACTTGATAATCATTCCAGAGGGCAGCATATTATTATGTAGTTACATTATCAACACTGACCTCTTGTTCTTATCTCTATTTATTTTTAGATTTTAGCAATGTTGTTAGCAAGAGTGATGTAAAGGTATTAGCAGAAGCAGATGAACAGGAGGTAGTCCGTGAAGTTCAGGTACAAATTTTATATTGTTTTGTTTGTTATATTTTATTTTTCATATGGGTGTATAGGAGGATGAATAGGAGTTACATTTGATTAGGTATCATTTAGTAAGCAATGTGTATTTAATACTTATGGTCTGATTGCTATCTTCGCAGGAATTCTATGGAGATTACATCGCAGTAAGCCCTCATGTCTGCACACTCAACCTTAATGGAATCTATAGGGTATGGTTGTTTTTTTTCATTTAATTAATTTTGTGGTTATTATTCCATTGATCTTATATAGCGCCATTTTCCTGCCGGTATGTTACAATGCTATTACTTTCCAAAATCTGAATCTAACTTCATATCATGATTCCTGCTCCTTAATATTATTTTTTTCTTTGCATTTTCCAGATAAACTATTATAATACTAAAATAATTCTCAATTTTCATAATATGTATTAATATGTTTTGATATCATAAAACTATGTATTTATCTTAACACAGGGAATAGGCTGGAATCCTAAGTCATTAAACCGCGCTTGTTCCGGATTGACAGCTATCTTACTGTCACTCAAAAAATGCCCCATGATCCGGTATCAAAACTC